TAATACGACAAAAACAACAAGAAACGGTTATGTGGTCAAGTTATTAACGAAAGAGAAAGTCGACGAAGAGAATGGATCAATGCTTCTTAGGACGAAACGCAATGTTTCTTGATATGTCATCGTTCATTATAACGCAATCAAATTTCGATTTCGATTTTTTCTATCAAGCACTGAAATTATCAGACGGTACCTCTATATACGCTTTTAGACTAACATTGTAAGTCCCTCCTACATGGAAAATTATGCTAAGGAACGGCTTACTATGTCCCGCCCCATCGGAAAAAATCCGGGTAATTAAAATTGAGGCGGGGCATAGCAAGCCGTTCCATAGAATAATTCTCCAAGTAGGAGGGACTTACAATGCTAATCTAAAAGCATAAATAGAGAAACAGTCTGATAATTTCAGTGCTTGATAGAAAAAATGTAATCTGTGATAGAGAAATCAGTAATAGAAATATTTCACTAATTGCAGGGGGGGGGGGGGGGGGCGGAAAATGGGGAAATCCGGAAAGAGCCCGTCTATTTCGATGACAAATAGGACTAAAATTAAGATTCTGGACCAATTTTAAGACCATAGGACTGGATTTTCAGGATACAGCCACTTTTATGAACTAAATATTAAGAGAATTTTAGAAAGAAGTCTGGAGAATGTATTTCATAGAAAAATACTAACAGATTTTTTTGAAGAACTCTAATAGAGATTTCACATGGACTCCAAGTCAATGGTGTGATAATTTGAAAGATAATTTCAAGTTAATTCTAAAGAGAGTTGCAATAAAATCCATAGATCAATACCAAGGAGATCAAATTCCAAAGCAATTCTGAGACTCCGTTTTATGAGAATTCCGAGAATCATTACAAGCGAATATCGTGAACAATTTCTAGAGAATTCTAAGTGAATTTAGAGAAGAGCTCCAGGATAATTATGAGCAGAATTGCAAGACAATTCTGAGGTGAACTGCATGGAGATTCTAAGGAGAATCCAGACTAATTTTAAACATAATAACAGTAAGCTTCAGTGAATTCTTTCAAAGCGAATCTTAGGATGAATTCCTCGAACTGTCTGGAGTGTTCCAAAATTTAATTTAGAATAATGTTCAAGAGACGCTCAGAGAGAATCTCAAATTTATTTTAGAGAAACTCTGAAAATAACCTGTGAGAGGAAATGGTTATAAATGAAAGTTGATAACATTTGATAAAAATCCTGTACAGAGTTTTAACTAACTTTTTCAAGGTAGTTTGACAAATTGACAAATTTTGACGACTTCAAATGCAGAAGCAATCCTGGGAAAAACGGGAAATAGCTAATCGGAATTTGCTGGTTACATGGTGGACATGGAAATAGCAGATGGGGAAGGGGTGGTAGTTATTAGAAGTGGGGTTGTTAAGTAACGTTGATGAAATGAAAAAAATACAGTAGTTCTTATATGCGAAAATTTTCCTGTTACACGGGAGGATGAGTGAAAATGATTACGGTTCGTTATAGAGGGTAGATGTTTTTAGAAAATGACGGGACCCAAGTGGAAAATAGTGTTGTTTTCTCACTGAAAATCCATCAATACTGCCAATTTAGCACAAAAATTTAACTCTATCTGTACAAATGTGTGGTCCTGAGAAGGACCGATTGTTCAATCCGAGTCAAAAGGTTCCACCTCTTACCGTTGGAGATACTGCTGCTGCTAGTTGCTCAGGCGATCGATTCACTACATTGTCCGATGCGAAAATGAGCTTCAGTACCGCGACATCGTTCTTAGCTTAAAGCTCATCCCACGTCTGCTCGATATCAACCGATCGACTATCTACAAATGAGAGCGTGAGATTATATAGAAAATCGCCAGTCGGATCGGATAATGCAGATTGAGCTTAATGCAAAAACAGCTCGTTGAAGGGGTGAGTCTCCTCATTAAGGAAGTTTTTTACCGCTGGCGATCAAGAGCGAAGATGTATAGATGAGCAAGTACTCACGGTCCGCTAGTGTTGGTGAGTTATTTGCCGTTAATACTAATGAAAAGTTAACTGTTTTGACGGGTAGATTTGGATACAATTCGGATCTGTTTCATAAGACCGGAAGGTGTGTGCTGGTCACAAATGCTTTGCCAAATTGATTTCCTAACATGCGGAAGATTGATTATAGCAAAACTTGCCATATACAATCGTCAAAGTTCATTTGATTAAATAAACTAACACTTCTTCCTTGTTTGTCACAGGGGCCTGACTGGCGGCCATGTTTTTGATGCTATCATCTGCTCTTGTCTTTCTGCTTCTAACACGATTTTCCGTCCTTTTCCACCATGTATACGTCAGGCGGGTCGTATTTACATAAGGCCCGTGACGTTGCCTACTGTCAACGTATAGGATTGATTTGAGGAGGCTGGCACTCCTGGTTTGACGATGATGTTGCTACTGCTTGGCGCTCACCACCAATGCGAAAATGAACGGTGGCGCGAAAGCAGCGATCTTTTATAGCTTTACAGATTCAAGCAGAACGATGAGCAAACAAATGGTACTCGATTATGGCAACTTTACGTTAACGTTTATTTCATGGAAATAGTAACAAAATTATCACTTTTCATTTTTCACATTTTTTTTAAACTTTCTAAATAAAAAATGGAAAATTTCAGCAGATTCGTTGAGTTATTTCCTACCGATTGGTGTATTTGAATTTTAATTCCATCTATAAATGACAAAGTAATAAGCGTTCAAAACCTAACACCTTTTCGTGTCGGTCACAATTTTAGATTTTCGATTTATCCCCTGTACCGTCCCGTACGACGTAGTCTACGTCAAAATTTGGGCAGTACAGGGTTAAATTATTGAGTCTATGATATTTGAATGATTTCTCGATGAAGGCTACTGGACTTCACTTGTATTTCAACTTTCTACAGGTCTTGTTGACTGGACTATGAACTTCCTTTACTCCTCCAGAAATTTCCTGCACTTCACTAGGCTGTCGTGCGATATTGCATTTTTGCAAACTTGCCAGTACCTTGAAATTTGACGACAGCTAGAAAAGGATTTTAAAATTGATTAGGACGAGTTTATCGAATGACTTATAATAGGAAACTTTACGGAGAACCTTGGTGAACTTTTTGACGTAGTTTGAAAAACTGTACGGCCTATAACCAACAATCAATTCGAACCTAACGATTTTAAATTGGCTCACTACTTGACTAGCCTATTGGTCCCAAGCAAATCGATGACCGTACCCCATTCTAGTATAAATTCCAGTACTACACACTTAATTTAGCTCGGTAAAATCTCCATCAGCCGATTACCTCGGCATTTACTTTTGCTGATATATCTGCACAGTATCTGTTTGTTAGCTGATATCTCAGCAAAATAATATTTGTTAGCTGAGTCTCGGCAATTGTTTCACTGAATCTCAGCAAAATAAATTGCAGAACTACTCGGCTGTTGGAACCTCGGCAAAAAATTTTAAGTGTGTACACTATGTTTGTTTTGATTCGCTATGAAAGTTTGACAGATAAAATGAGGGGTTCGTGAATTTTCCTATGTTTCGAGGGGTGCATCGATTAGCTTAGGACCGAAGATAGTACCAGAGTTGAGCCAAAAAGTTGAACACTTTTCTTCGGGACTTACTAGTCTTAGAGTTATCTCTATGCTATAATCGCATATCAGTCCCATATAGATTTTCGTCAATTTTAAGATAACAACGTTATCCACTATCAATTGGCATCTACTTTCATATTACTTGATAAAACTACGGACTTTGATCATGAAAACTGTCAAACCAACATCAAGTTAGTTTGTCCCACTAAGCAAAGTAATCGCATATCAGTCATATCCTGAAATTCGATCGTCTGGAGGACAAGTTACAGTTCTGCGTTTTGGATCGCCATATTTTTCTCTGACAACAAAATATGCAAGCTTCATGCAATTAATTTACTATGATTTTTCAAATATTGACATGGGAATTGCACTTCGTAACTCAATGGCTACTTTTCCCATATGGGACATAGGCAGTGTAGGGGCCTACTTGAAGTTGAAGAGGAAAGCACGGAGCACGTGAAGAGGAAGTTAAAGGACTATTAGTTAAAGATTAAAGAGTTTTCAAGAATGTTCGGAAGAGATCAACGAGGACCTGAGTTTTCTGAATTCCTGGTAAAATTTAGGTATTTAGTTAATGAAGAAGTAATCTCAGCTAGAAATTCAAGAATGCTGTGGAGACAAACTAAAATACTTTAGGGGAACCCTCATAGAGCTGTGATCATTCGAGAAGACTTTGAAGGTAAGCTCAGTAAACATTGAGGGCAACATCAAAAAGAATAGAACATCGAAGGATTTTTAACACTCCGAACACGATGCCTCCGGAAAAATGTGTAACAGCAAACTTGCAATGTTTGAAAAATCATAGCTCAGCCATTTATCGAGGAATTTAAAATATATTCATGCCATTTGAAACTACCTACTTTAAAGATTTATCCGGTATCAATAGATTAAAAATCTATATGATTTTTCAAACATTGTCAATTTTCCATTACAAATTTTACCGGAGGCATCGTGTTCGGAGTGTTAAATAGCAAACCTTAGCCTTAGTTTACGGAAATCTTAGATCAGTCAGTTCAGTCTGGCGTTTTATTCAAAATGACATACTACGTGTACTTTTTAACAAGACTATTGCACCAGAAGCTTGGTATAAAATTTCAATGATCTCCAAGCCCAAGCAGACCAGTCTCATTCATGGCCCATGGCTTCAAATCTGAGTTCAATTCCGAATGGACATTCCCAGTGACGTCCAATGATTTTGTTTAAAAATTCAAAACAGTATTCTCCTTCCCACCGTTGGATTCAACCCGTGACATACAGCCCAACCCATTTTCGTCCTAACAAACAATCCATCCCGCCAGTTGTGTTTGTTCTGTTCTGTTGTGATTTTGTCCCACACTAACCCTTGATTACCACTAAGTCCCACTGCAATCGTTACGCCCTAACCTCAATTCAACCTATGTTTTTTTTATCCTTTTTCGCACCGAAAACAGCAATTCTGGCAGCCCGGTCTGCAGCCCAGCACATCACAGGACGTCAAACCGTTCGCCCAGGCGGCGTACGGTCCGATGGGCAAGACAGCCACGGCCGTCTCGGACAGTGGCCTACAGGCGGCACACCCGTGGGAGGGCCGAGCGATAGCGACGCACAAGTTCCGGCTCGTCGAGTACAGCGCCTACCTGGAGATGCGTGTTGAAGATACTGTGAGTAGTAGCGGGTCGATTATCGAAACGATGGCAACACTGGCTAACAATTGTTTTTTTTTTTTTTTTTACAGTACCACAAGCACTTATTTGTACATATAGGCGATCAGCCGGCCCACCCGCTTCTGGAGTCGGTGGAGGTGAAGGAGATCTACGACAAATTCCCACAGAAGGCCGGTGGCCTTAAGGAACTCTACGAGAAGGGCCCGAGTAATGCGTTCTTCCTGGTTAAGTTCTGGGCGGACCTGAATACGAACGTGGTCAACGATGCCGGCGCGTTCTACGGTGTCAGTAGTCAGTGAGTATCATACGTTCCCTCGTCCAGGGATTCCCCTGTTCTTATGTTCTTTTTCTCTCACAACCAGTTACGAAAGCAATGACAACATGGTGATTACCTGTTCGACGAAGGTGTGCTCCTTTGGCAAGCAGGTCGTGGAAAAAGTCGAAACTGAGTACTCCCGCTTCGAGAACGGTCGGTACGTGTACCGGATCAGTCGGTCGCCGATGTGCGACTACATGATCAACTTCATCAACAAGCTGAAGCACCTGCCCGAGAAGTACATGATGAACAGCGTGCTGGAGAACTTCACCATCCTGCAGGTATGTGTTGCACCTAATGCAATCCTTCAGGGGAGTGCTCATTATGCCCTCTTATCTTGTTTGCCACAGGTCATCTCCAATAAGGAAACGGACGAGACCCTGCTCTGCGTGGCATTTGTGTTCGAGGTGTCGACGTCAGAGCACGGCGCCCAGCATCACATCTACCGCCTGGTGAAGGAATAGCATGAAATTAACTCCCAAACCCACACCGCCCACCAGCACCACCAGCAGCAACAGCAGCAGCATCAACACCAGCAGAATGTTGACAGCAGCGGTAGTAGCCTAATGTTAAGTAATCATAGCAGTACTACTAACTACAATAACGGTAACGATAGTAACAATAACAATAACGCTAGCAGTAATCGTAACGATAACAGAGGAGGGGCAGAGTTGGTCGTCGGCATTGCAGACGGTAGTAGTAGCGCTAGCGCTGCTGCTGCTACTGCTGGTGCTGCATTATCGGCCGTTGTTGACGAATCGGCGGTAGCGCTAGCGCTGAGTGTCGATACTCTGCAGCAGCAGCAACAGCTGGTAATAACTGGGGAGGGTTCCACAACAACCGCTGAATCCGAGCAGAGCTCGACCGTACTGGTGGACCCCCACGAGCACCACTACAATAGTCTGATGGCCGCCGCAGCGGTAGCAGCTGCCGCCGTCGCCGCCCGCAAGTCGGTAAAGCAGGAATTTATCAGCGGTGAAGACTTCACTGCTGCTGCTGCGGTGGCAGCGGCGGCGGCGGCCGCAGCAGCCACTGCTACTGGTGCGACACCTAGTGGAGGTGGCGGCGGCGGCGGTGGCGAATAGAAGCAGATATAAAGAAAAGGGAGAGAGGTGAGAGACAGCCGTTCTGTATAAACTATTTTTTTAAGTGGAAGCCTCTACTGCATCCTGACACAAAACTGTACTATTTCAAGTAGTGTTTTAAAACAGGAAAATCATTGTTTTTCGTTTTTCTTTTTCGGAGGTTAAAAAAAAGGAACCTTTCAGTTTCTTCTAGTTTAAAGCAAAACAAAAAACGAAAACAAAAATGTGAAACTAAATTTTAAGACGATGGAAAAACAGTGCCTATATTACAACAAAAAAAAAGAAACCTAAAAAAGATAAATAGAAACGAAAATGTCGTGGAAAGTGAGCAATCTGTGTAGAAGATAAAAATAATACACAAAATCAAACAAACTTACTCTAAAGTTGAAGCTTTTCGCTGAAAAACAAACACACACACACATACTCACAGGAATATGGGAATGTGTGAAAAATGTCCTAATTTTTCTTGTGTGTGGAATTCTGCTAACTCCTTATTTGTGAAGCTATTGAATGCCATTCGGCGAGTGGTTTTATCCTTTTGTTTTTAGTTGTATTAAAGTGACTTTGCAACCGATGTGACATAATATTTTAAAGGTCTAGAAGGAGGAATATTGCATAACGGCAGATTTGGAGCACACACATACACATACAATCAGCAATGATCTCAATGACAGCACGAGCGCCGAGTCGAAGTAAAATTTAAAAAAAAATGTTTGGCGCATTAATCTTTCCCACAATGCCAAAGCGAGTTGAGTTGAGGTTATGGACGAGGGTGTGAAACTCAAATATCTTCTACAATTTTATACCGCCGGGGCGTTTCAACGTATTGCCAGGAGAGCTATTCTCGGAGAGCTCTTGTTAGAATTTAGAAATTGAACACTTACTAAGAGCCGGAAGGTTTCCATCGATCTGTGTGTAAAAATCAACACGACACGTTCTTTAGCGCAGAATCATTTTGCATTTGATCCTCAAACCATCCCCACCAAGACGAAAACGACAACATCCAGCCACTAATGAAGAAAAACAAATCTCGCGTCATTTTTCAAATAGATCGATTCTCTTCCTCGACTCTCTCTTTCATTAATATTGAGGTCCGTATTTCTCGATAGCCAGGAAAGGATCAGTTTTATGTTATAACTAGTTTATTGAACGTCTGGTAAGGATGGATGTTGAGTTAGGAATGACACAAAAAAGAAGGTCTCCACAGTACAGCAGAAAAGCTTGGGTTGCTGTGTTGAACGGTCCTCGTTGAACACCGATGACTTGTTCGTCAAACATCCCCTATCAATCGGTGACTTCAATCTTGCTTCTGAGGTATTGGAACCATGAAACAACCAAAGCTTTTGTGAAGAGATCTGTCTGCTGCTCAGTGGTGGAAATCGGTTCTAATTTGATGGTCCCAGCAGCCAAATGATCCCTGATGAAATGGTGCTTGCTGTCGATGTGCTTAATCCGCTTCGATTCAGCATCGATTATCTTCGTATAGTGTGACAGGATCTGTTAATGTCGTGGCGTTGAGGTCTTCTAGTACTCCAGCTAACCGAACTACTTCGAACGTAACGTATTCTGCTTTGCTTGAAGACGTAGAAACAGTTGGTTGTTTGCGGCTGGCCCAAGACACCGTTGAGCCATACAGGTTAAACAGGAAACCCGTTTAACCTGTATTGCGGTTATCAGTTGCCCACTCCGCATCTACGAATCCGGCAAGTGGTCTGCTACCTTCGTTCATCTTGAATTGTAGACCCATGGCGCTTGTTCGCTTCAGGTATCTGCATATCCGCTTCAGTCCGAAACACCCACTTCGTTCTGAGTGGCTTCACACCTACAACAGTTGTTAGTTGTCATGGAGTTGAGCTCTTCGTTTACCGCCTGGTACCACAGGTCACGGTCGTAACGAATGGCAATTTCAGTGTACGTTTTGGGAATATCCGACGTGGAGAGACAATCAACAGCAGTTGATCTAAAGCCGGCAAGATAGTCAAGTAACTTACCCGGAAATTTGCACTCCCGATGCACCAAGTCATATCGGAAGCTACTGGGTAGTTTGATGCATCAAATGCTATGTGTTCGATCAGACTACCCAGTTAGCTATATGGAACGGTATCGTCGATGATCTGCTTGGTCAGCTTATTATCTTCCCCCTCTTACCCGTAGAATAGAGGAACCACCAAACGCTCTTGAGAAAGGTGTCTAGTATCGTTAGTCCAAGGAAAGCATTCTTCGTTAAACGTGACGTCACGAGCAATCACGATTAGCCTGCTGTTCTTGGCCCATAATCGGTAACCCTGTGGTACGTATCCGACCATCAGCAGCTCACGGCTCTTCGCGTCCAGCTTCTTCCGAAGTTGGTTCAGCACCCACGCATAGGCTTGACATCCGAAAACACGTTCAGCTGGCGTGTGACTATTTGATAACGCAGAGGTTGGGCTCCGGTTCACGAGGAAAACAGCCGTCAATACGACTTCACACCACAACGACTTTGGCGCTTTGGATCCTATCAACATTGTACGTACCTTCTCCATCAGAGTTCTGTTAAGTCTATCTGCAACCCCGTTTTGCTGCGGCGAGTAAGCTACTGTTGGTTCGATTTGGATCCCCTTGCTTCTTCTGATTGCCCGAGCAATATTCACGCCCTTGATCTACTGTGAGCTTCGAAATCTTCGTTCCACAGGCCGCTGTAGGCATTGCTTCAAATTCTTGAAATCTTTCAAACACCTCCGATTTCTTCTTTAACAGGTACACCACAGCAAAATGAGAATAATCGTCGACGAATGGAGCGAAAAAGTGATGTCCAACTCAAGATGCTGGTTCAATCGGTTCACATACATCGGAGTGGATACGCTCCAACAATTGAGTTGCCCGGTCTCTTGTTCCAACGAATGGACTTCGGCTGTGTTTTCCCTGTACACACAGATTGCAGAACTTCAGCTTCTCCGGCTTGAAATGCACTTGATTGTTACGTGCCAGGGTGACCATGCAGCCTTTTTTTTTAATCTTTATTTTAGAGATTTTTAGCCGAAGGCTAGTTCATCTCTTAGTCGAGAGTGTGAGGTCTCAGAGGGAGAACCTCCTACGGAGTTGTTGTACAGAGTTGATTCTTAATTGATTAACTAATACGGATGGACACCATCATGAGGGCCGAACGACTCATCCCATGTGGTGCCCCTCTTCGGCTACTAAAGCTGTAAGGTACAGCCTTCCTGGCTCTTCTTTTGGAAACAGAGAAATTACAAATTAAAACACGTAACATTAATCTGAACAAAGCGGCACCGTCACGAGGTCCAAAGGCTCATCCCGTGCGGAGCCGTCCCGACAGTTAAAAGAAAAGTGGCTAACAAAAAACTGTCTAAATTCCACGGTACAAATTTACTTCTCTAAGGAATATTAAGAGGGCGTCGGAAGCAGGCGAGTGGTGTCTGAGAAGGTTCCGGATGCTCGAAGTGATCCCGCAGGTCTCCCTGAGATTTTCGAACTCGGGGCAGACGCAGAGGACGTGCTTGACGGTTGCCGGAACCCCGCAGATCACGCAGTTCCTACGCAAGAGTCCTCCGTCGAAGTTATAATAAAGCCGGCAGTGTCCAGTCCTAAGCCTCCATAGGACACTTTGATCCATCAGATTCCGGATGAAAGGTTCCCTGGTGCTAAACCACTGGTTGTTCCAAGCTTTGTGTACGGTTGATTTGACCCATCCCCTGACGTCTTGCAGCGGTACTTTGTCGGTGAACCTGGGGCCGGATGGTCCAGATCCAGCGAGGTGATCCGCTGTCCCGTTGCCAGGTATTCCACAGTGTCCAGGTATCCATGTGAAGACGATGCTAATCGGGGAATACTTTACGGTAGCCTGAATCCACGGGTGTGATGGAGCTGCGGAGCAGACTTCTTGGATCGCGCTGTAAGAGTCAGTCAGGATAAGGATTGGTTGATTCGCATGAAAAATTGCGACGGCTTCTGCTGAGAAAACGGAGCATTGTGGCGGTAGGCTGTTGCTTGCTAGTATACCACTTCCGGATACTCCGATGCCAACGCCCGATCTGGATCGGGAACCATCAGTGTACCGGTGTGTGTGTGTGATTGGCATAGTCGGAACCAATTAGTTCTGCTACCGACCGACGCAGGGCCACGAAATTATCTCCTGTCTTGAATCGGTTCTTAATTCGGCGATCAATATTGATGCTGGAAGAGAGATATGGCCGAGACGAAGAAGCTACTAGAGATTCTCCGTTCTTCGCTACGTTGATGTATACTGGTGCTGGTCGAGAAATGTTGCTTCAAATTCACCATAGCTCCAGAATCTAGCAGAAATTCAAACTTCTCACTGCAACTTGTTCTTCTTGCTCCGCTGTCCGCCAAGAACATCACAGATCGTGATTCGGTGGCAACATTAGCGTGGATCTTCTTCCGGCAACCTTTTTTCATGTGGCCCCTTTTGCCACAGGCGTAACATTTTCCGCTAAGCTTCGCGCTTCCTTACTTCTTACGAAATTCTCCAGAAGATGCGGAGCTTTGAACTCTGTCCAAACGCTTCGACTCGTCACTCAACAACCGGGTCTTCATCAACTCGTAGGTCAAATCATTCTCCTGTAGGTTCTCGAGGGCAGTCAGGAGGGGATCATAGGACTCCCTAAGAGTTAAACTGAGTGCTGCACAGACAGCGCTTACTTAAAGTTTTGAACCTACCACTCGGAGTTGCCGAACAGGGTCCTCAAACTTCAAAAGATGGGCTCGTAGTGACGACCCTTCCTTCAATTGAAGACGAGCGATTATCGGTAAATACCGATTTTTTAAAAACCTTGGTACCAATAAGCATGAAAACAATCTACTTTTAGGTGACCATGCGAAGAGTTTATGCCGTGTCGTTTAGAGTTGTTGCAAGGGGGGAGGTGGCTGTCGGCTACGAACAATCGTCGCCTACCTCGCATAACTGGTTCCAAACGTAAACAAGCCATAAGAAACCTACAGCGTTTGTTTACGTTTGGAACCAGTTTCATACAAGATGATCAGTAGGCTGATTTGACAGCACGTCCCCACCAGAGTTGTGCCTCGGTTATTCCAAAGTGCGCAAGTGAAAGAGCAATTTTATGTT